GAGTCCCTGCCACCTGCTGAGACCACCCCAGGACCCCGAAGAGCTCTGTGGGGACATCGGTCAGATAAAGGATGATCTCACGTGGCATTTTCTTCCTCCTCATCTAAAGAGCCAGGCTGAGGCACACTACAAGGGCAATCGCCACGCCCGACGAGTCAAAGGCATCGAGGCCGCCAAGACCCGAGGCAGGGAGCCTGGCGTCCGGGAGCCTGGGGACTCGGCACCTCCAGGCAGCAGCCCCCAAAATGGGGATGGTGTCACCCCCCGTCCAGGTGTGTTTGAATCTCCCTACATTCTTTTCATTCCCCAAAACTGTCCTCTGCTTCATTTCTCTCTTCCATCCCCACCCCCACTCCCACCCAAGGTGAGTCCTAGAGTCAAGCATGGTGATGTAAAATTTCCACCCTGTCACCCCACCCCCGCCACAGCTCCTCTACACAGTCCCCACTGTCTGTCCTCCTCACCACCCAGTGACTCAGAGAGGAGCCAGGGTGAGGCCACCTGGCAACCCTCCCCAAGAAAAAGGGGATCATGGAATCCAGAGAGTGGCTTCTTCCTCCTGGGAAGGGGGACAGGGGAGGGAATCAGGATATCCGAGGGTCTGCCCTCCTGGGGTACCCCACATAGAAGACTGAGAGTCCAAGAAACCCAGGCAATTCCCTGGATGATGTTGGGTAGACTTTTTACCTCCCAGGGCCAGAGCTTTCTTTGCTGGGGAATAGGAAAGTGAGACTTGAAGCTCTTTGAGGTCCTTTCCAGGTTTACAAAAAACAACCAAGATTCTTTTTCCCTCATGGCTGGTGGCCATCCTCAACCATACTTCCAGCCAAGAAACTGGGAAGAGGGAACATCAAGACAGGAAGATATGAGCCACCCCCACGCTGGGATTGCCACATCAGATGTCAGCCATGGCCAACTCCACAGAGACCCAGAATCCCCATTTCCTCCTTATCCTTGCCTGTCCTTCCTGCCCCACCCTAAGAAGAATGAGAAACACCACCAGCTTGGGAATGAGGCCTCCACCCTCAATACACACAATGGAACTGCCCTCAGGGATGCCCAGACAGAGCTGGCCAACAGGGAGCGGAGTTGTTTTTTTTTTCTTAAATGATTTATTTAATTTTGTCCATTATTTTTATTTTAATTTACTATAGGGCACATGTACTCAACAGAGGGAGGGGAAAAAGAGAGAGACAGAGAAAGAAAGAAAGCTGTCAGACCCGGAACTCAAACCATGGTCAGCCATGTGGTAGTCCAGCTCCTTAACCACCGCACCACCTGCTGGCCCCAAACTGAGATTTTTTTGTTTGTTTGTTTTTTAAATTGCCAGAGAGTTCATGAATTTCCCAAAGAGAGAGATGGAGAGACAGAGGGAGAAAGCATCCCCCCAGTGGGGTGTGGTCATGCCACATCCCTTCTCCTCTCTTTCTCTATCCTGTTGGGATTTGGAGCATGCACACACAGGTACCCCGGGTGCTTTTTGAGCTGCCAGGGCCAGGATCCCAGCCATGTAGTCGGCCATGTGGGATCCAGCTTCCTTAACCACTAGGCCAGGGGCCAACCTAGAGTTGAGTTCTCATTGTGCCGTGGCTGCTTTTAGTCTGATCATCTTGGGTTAGTTTGTTAACATCCCTGTAAAATGGAGAGGATGATGATAACGACAGTGATAGCTGACATTTCTTGAATAACACTGTGGTAGGGCCTTTACACATAATACCTCATTTGGTTCTTTTTTTTCTTTCTTTCTTTCTTTTAAGAGAGATTTTTGCTATAGGGCATGTGCACTTACCAGAGAGACAGAGACAGAAAGTGAGAAATCACCCCCGGGAGGGATGGCTACACCACAATCCCTTGTCTCCATTCTGCCCTCTGGATTTTGGGCACACATGCACACATGCCAGATGTGAGTTTTAAGCCCCCGGGTCTGGGACTCAGACTGCGATGGACCGTGTGGGAGTCCAGCGATGTAACCATTACACCAGCTGCTGGTCCCGCCCTCAGTGCTGATTGTGACTGAGGTTACCAGGCTTGATAACTCTACCACGCTGCTTCCATACACCATGCCTCCTGTCCAGACTGGGATGTGAGTGTGCTCTCTGGGTGGGACTGGAGGTAGAGGACGTCAGAAATTAGGAAGAGAAATAAGGAGAAGGTCGTAGGGTGGACAGGCAAATGACTCCTGCAGGGGTCAGGACTTCCCCTCCTACAAAAGCCCCAGCCCCATTGCCAGCCTCCCCATGACCCGGAAACTGGATCATCTGCTGGAGCGCAAATGGGAGCGCTAGAGTTTCCCCTGTACGGAGGCCAGAGCCCAGTGCTGAGGCCTGGGGCCTGTGCATCTTTAATAGAGCCATGAATTATAGAGCAGCCTGCATCCCTGTTTCTTCCCTCTCCGGTTCCGCTGTGTCTGTTTCCCTTTTTCCAGGTCTGCATGGGTCTCTTCCAGCCTCTCCTCACCCTGCCTCTGCCCCTTCCTAGAATTCTTTGGTGTGCCTTCCTGGGCTGGGCAGGACTTGGGGAAGGGGCTGCCCTGGCAGAAAGCTCAGGCTGGCTGGCAGGCCCTCCCAGGGGTGAGTCCCTGTTCCATGCCTCTCCCCTTAGCTGGGCTGGCTGCCAGTTTCACCCTGAAGGTAGCCTGGTAGGGCTGGACCCCGCGGCCATTCCAGCTCACGGGGAATGGGACAGGCATTGGACTTTCACACCCAGACTGCAGCAGCTGGACCACATCTGGCCCTGGCCCAGGGCATGAGAGCATGCATGTTGTCATAGGGCGGAGACTCCTGGGCCCTTGCCCTCCAGGAAATGGGGGTGGGTCTCTCCACATGAAAAGTCTTCTCCAAGAGCCATCTGGGATGACCCCCATGTTTCTGCCCCAACAACAGTTTCCATGGAGAATGGACTAGGTCCAGCCCCGGGATCCCCAGAGAAACAGCCTGGCTCCCCATCCCCTCCCAGCATTCCGGAGACTGGTCGGGGTGCAACCAAGGGTGAAGGGGGGACTCCAGCCCCAGCTTCCGTGCCTGGGGGTAGCAAGGAAGAAGAGGAGAAAGCCAAGCGCCTGCTGTACTGCGCTCTGTGCAAGGTGGCTGTGAACTCGCTGTCCCAGCTTGAGGCACATAACAAAGGTGTGTGCTCCTGCCCCCACCGGGCTGCCAGTGCCCAGCCCACCTGCCCCACCTCTCACACTGGCTTCCAGCATCGCTGACCACCCCCCAGACCTACTGGCCTATCTCCTTCCCCAGCCATCACCCTCCTTCCTCAGCCCCTTACTTCTCTGCTCCCTTCTGCCTTCTTTTACCTGTGACTCTCCCCTGACCCAGCTTGTGTTTGGGAGGGAGAGTCCAAGGGGTTCCTCACTTGCCCCGCCCCTGTCCCCATTACGTAACTGGGAATGTAGGTATCTGAGGCACGGTAGGCCTGGAGAATTCTTCCTCCGACCCTTACCTCCTGTCCGCTGTGGGCTCCAGGTACTAAGCACAAGACTATTCTGGAGGCCCGAAGTGGGCTGGGGCCCATCAAAGCTTACCCTAGGCTTGGGCCTCCCACCCCTGGGGAACCAGAGGCTCCAGCCCAGGACCGAACCTTCCACTGTGAGATCTGCAACGTCAAGGTCAACTCGGAGGTACAGCTGAAACAGGTGGGTCGAAGGCCCTTTCCAGGAATTCTGGGCTCCCCACCCACCAAGGGGGGGAAGGAGATCAGTCGCTTGGGTGCGGGCCCTTTTTCAGGGTGGGTGCGAAGAGGGAAAAGGGGGCGGGGTACATGCTTGGGCAAGTACCCGCGCCATGGCCTGGCCCCTCGCGGTTGCCTCTTTCCGGGGGTCACAGCCGCCTCCGCACTCGCCCCGCAGCACATCTCCAGCCGGCGGCACCGAGACGGCGTGGCAGGGAAACACAACCCACTCCTGAGCCGTCACAAGAAACCTAGGGGCGCCGGGGAGCTGGCGGTGAGGCCTGGACACTGGGAACTCGGCGGGGCGGTGGGGGGCCGGGGCCGGGACTTGGGGACGCGGGCCATGCCCGCGGAGAGCTGGGGTGTGCGGGACCGCGGCCGACTTCCGTCTCGCCTCTTCCCGCTTCAGGGCACGCTGACTTTCTCCAAGGAGCTGCCCAAGTCCCTGGCGGGCGGCCTGCTCCCCAGCCCCCTGGCGGTGGCTGCGGTGATGGCAGCGGCAGCAGGCTCCCCGCTGTCCCTGCGCCCGGCTCCGGCCGCACCCCTTCTC